AATTAAAAAAAAAATTTCTTAAATAAAATCAAATTTCCAATTGTTTTGAAATTCCAAATTTTCAAATGTTTTTGCGGCTCAACGTATGTATTGTAAATAAATACTTTGCTTTAAAAATAAAATGAAATTGTGAAAATAAACCATGAATTTCCATATCTATTTTGCTCTTACAATTGTATAGTGAGAAAATATCATTTTTATTAGAGACACTTTAAAATTGCTACAATATTTTTCACTATTATTTAACACAATAATAACTGAGTTGGAATAAATAATTCAAGATTAAGTACACACGTGAATAAAAATTATGAAAAGGAAATTTTTTCACTCTAGTGAAAGATCAATTTTTATTTACAAAAAAAAATTTATTAGCAAAAAAATACATAATAATTACTTTATATTTTTGAAGTGATTGCTTCATTATTAAGAGGATAAACTTTTTTCTATTATTATGTGCGTCATTCCCATAATATATTGAAGCTATTCCATTATTGTATAGAAACGTTTCCAATAAATTATGGGTATGGTTCCCATAATGAGTATAGGATTAATGCCTATAATGATAATTTTATTATAGGATCCATTCCCATAATTGTTGGAAAGATTCCTATAAATTTCTCTCCGTGTATTATTTATTACAGTTTACTTTTTTTCGTGTACATATTCATTTTTAAAAAGTAAAATTTTCTAAAAACTGTAAAAAAAAAGCGACGTTCAATTTAAAACTTTGTCAAGACAAAAAAATAAATAAACCAAGTCACGATTTGGTAATTAAAGTGAGCTGAATGCCGCTTAAATTTTTCAACACTGCTATATTATGGGATTTAATATGCGCACTTACCTCTTAAGCTAATATGAAAGCTTTATCCTGTTTGTTACTTTTTTTATAGTCCAACTTTTAAAATTAATATATTTTACAAAAATAGTTTATATAATTTTTTATCACGTGATCAAGATGTATCTAACAGTCTGACAGGAAAAAAAAAGAGAGAAGCGAAAAGGAATGGAAGACAGTTAAGTAAAATAAAAACGTGATAATAAAAAAAGTAGAACAAGAAAAGGGTGAAAATATTTAAGAGATGGTAATTTAACGAGACGCAAGGACTTTACTCTAAAACTGTAAGCTAACTGCTAATTTAAGGAGGTTAATTCCTTTGGAGACAAGTTGGCAGAGTTATGATGAAAATATTCATAGCATTATGCATTTATTACGCTAACCAAGAAAATACCGTAACTAATAAAAATTAAAAAGTATAATTTTTTTTATATTTAATACTTAATATTATTATTGCTAATTTTACAGATATTTTACTTTTAATTTATACTTTTTTAAATTATTCAGTAGATAAGAACGTGCGCACGCACGCGCGTGCTTGAATGTGTGTATAGAATTACATATATTTTCATGTTTATGATATATTTGACCAATCACATTGATGAAAAAAGAGCTGGAAAAATTTTAGTGTAAAAATATGTCCCTCGTAGAAAAAACTGCAAGTTTTACTCTTCATATTGTAATAATTAAGATCCTATTTTGTAATAATTTAATGACAATTGGAAATACCAAATTTTAAAATTTTTAATACATTACAGTTGCATAAAACTTTAAACTGTCTGTTACTTTTTATTTTTCATCAGTTCCTTATTAAAAAATTCATAGGTAATAATTGAAAGTGAAAAAATTCCTATTTATCAGAAATACATTTTTTCGTTTTATAAAATTAAATGTATCCTTCATAAAATTTACTATGTGAGCTACTCAATGTGAATTCTTAAGGTAGTTGTCGTGGTTAAGGCATACGGTCAGAAAATTCTAAATTTTTGCATACTTATTAAGGACATGATGATACAATTACCTTAAAAAATTGAAGTCGATTGACTACCTATAACCCGAGATGAATTCAATTGAAAATTGGATATTTAACATTGATTACATACGCTTCCTGCAGTTCTGTACCAGTCACTTAGTTACAAAAAAAACTAACTGTCAGAAACTTTAAAAAAACTGACAGTCTTTTAATGTATTTGTTATGAGTTTAAAAAAAAAATTTTTGACCATCTAATTATTTATAAATAACGGATTAAAGTTCAACAATTTATGAAAAAGTATATATCTACGGAGTCGGACAGAAACAATTGTATGGGTTGCGTCTCCACGGGTACAGTCTTGCGTAAAAATTATGGATTACTTAGCTACAAGCTCATATACTTTTGTGACGCGTATAATCTCTAATTTTTTGACAATATTGTACCATGACAACTACCTTAAATTGAGAATAACCAACATACTGACTCAATCTGTGATTCTTAAACTCTGTCACTCAAGTTTAATGCTACTATATCAAATATTAATTTCAATCATTGAAGATTACACTGATAAAAAAATGAACTTGATTCAAAAGAAAAATTCTTGAATCAAGAAAATAATTTTGAAGAGTTTCATTGAATCAAGTAAAATTTACTTAAGCCGAGAAAAATTTCTTAGTTTAAGAATTTTTTTACTCAAGTCAAGAAAATGAACTTCTTCAAAATCATTTA